GTGGATCTGATCTGACCTGCAGAAAATGGAGATGCTGCATTTGTGTTCTTCCTGAGTTCATGAGCAGCACTGGGCACAATGAGTACTTACAGTAATAATATTTGCCATTGGTATGTATAAATATTTTAGAGGAATAAGATAGCTGTTCATTAGCAAGCATTTTGGGTAAGTAAAGACAGCTAATGGAAGAATGCAAATTATGTGAGATAAAATAGGAGGATGCTTTTGAACCATCTTACCTATGCTAAAGAACACAAAATAAGTGGCGTGGCTGGTGGATTTAATACATTAGCATTAGGCAAGTCTGAAAAGGAGGAGTCTTTTCAGAAGTATTCTATGCTTTTCACAGTCAATGGCAAGTAGCAGAGGAAACTTGATTAAAATTTGGAATATGAAAAAACTAAACAGAAAAATGTGTGGTAGAGAATCTAACAATGAGGAAAACTGAAACCTGGTCAGAAATAGAAAAAATTTGGGTTTGGAGATTTGGAATTCAAGAGCTGCAGAATGTGAAATGCTGAGGATAGAACAAAAATACAATCTCAAGAATTGAAGGAATTGAGAATCTATAAAATCAAACATAGTAAATCAATAGAAAGTTTCAATAAAAGTTAGAGATTGTTAAAGATGTAATAATTAGGAGCAAAAGTTCTGTCTTGTATGTTATCTTTTAAGAAATATAAGACCAAAAAGGGTACAAAGACAGAGAGGGAAGACTGAAGCACTCCCTAGCTTCCCTTTGGTAGACAGAGACAGAAAGACAGATGATGAATGCTTGGGGTAGTCTGAGGTGCAGAGGAGCAGACAGAATGATATCAAAGAGGGAAAAAGAAGTGAAGGATATAGCTGAAATTAGGGACCATAGTGACAACAAGGGAGAAGGAGGTTTGGGAGGGAAGGACAAATCTGTGAGCATCACAACCAGAGAGCATAGCTTGCAGATCATAAATACAAATGCGTGAAAAGCTGTGGAAGGGTAGTGAAGGAGAACAAGAGATGATCTGATAGAAAAAGTGCTAGAATTTGAAGATAAATAAAAGGAATTGGTTTTGGTTTTTTTTTTTGGGGGGGGTGTTTTATTTTCTGTTTTGGTTTGTTTTTTGTTTTTGTTTTTGTTTTTTCTATACTTTCCTATTTAAACAAATGAAGGCTTTAATATATGGTACAGTTTGCTTCATACTTAAACCACTTAGAATATTTTATATCTTTATTTTGCATATACAAATATCTGTCTAAAGGTTCTCATTGTTACTAATAGGAAAGAGGAATTTGCTCCAAAGAAACTACCAGGAACACCAGTAAACAAGGAGAGATTTTCCCAGCAAAGAGGTAAATTTATGTCTGGAAACTAACTAACGAGTTGAGATTTATTTATTCAATATTAGTGAGTAAAAGTTAAACATTTTATTGGTGTTTGCCTGTCTATGATGCATTCACCTCCAGCTACATGCTAATGCTGTTTCTTAATATCTTTCCCTGATGGCATGTGACTGTAATTGTCTGAGTGTATCAGATCTGTTTAGCATTGTCCAAAGTAAAAAAAACATGAAGATATAAATGCTAATGGAGAAAGTGCACCATGGAGAATGTACATCATAACATGAAACTATTTTCTTTATGTACATGAGCTTTAAGCGAAGAATCTTGGGGTTTGATTGAAGTTAGATTTTTTTTCAGCCTACTCACTCCCTAGACTTTTTTCTCCTTATAGCTTGTTGTATGTCACGTATTACATATAAAATGAAGCTCAAATTGCTACTTGCTACAAATTAAGCTGAAGAAGATCTGTGTCTGACCATCCTGGAGCTGTGAATTGAGCTTTCATGGATGGATGATTTTATTTCAAGTCACTTCTTTTCATTACAGTTGCCCCAAATATGGACTTCATTTCAGAAGGGCTTAAGAGGTGAGTGCCGGCAGTTTTGACATAAGTTATATGAATAAGTGTCATGGTGGGGGAGTTACATGAGATATGAGATCAGTATTTGTGTAAGGGGTAAGTGCACCACACAAATAAATACCTGAATGACATGAATATCTTAAAAGGATTACAAAAGAATAGAAGAGCAAATGTACAGAAGTCCAAGAAGACAAAAAAAATTCTTTAGAAACACTGAATTCTCACATGATCACAACTTTTAAAGTGTGATATTGCACTTTGATGCATATGTCTTTAATACATATAACTTGGAGATGATACACTGTTATTAGAGACTTATCATGCCTGATGTGCAGTGCAGAGGCGTTTGCTTTGATGAATTGGAATTTGCTGTCATGAATCCAATGGCAGCAATGAGACACATCACTACCACTAGCATTCAGAGGCTTATAGCTATAATTACCCTATATTAATACATGGACATATATGGGACAGAAGCAAATCTCTATCTATTTGTGTCCTCCACCACAAAATTCTTATTTCCTTCAATGTTTTGTATGGCTTATGTGTTTCAAACTTAATCCTGCATATCAAAATAACACTTAGTCTTTATAGCTACACTAAGTACTCATATCACTAAACATGTATATTATTCTAGACTTATTTCCATAAGATTTATGCATACTGTATAAAGAAGCAGAGGAAGAGAGAGAGACGTGAGAATTTCTTCCCTGCTTAAAAAGGATTTCAGCTATTCAAAAGATCTGAGAACAGTAGAATGAGAAACATAAAGGAAAACAGTAAACTGTAGGAGCTGCATCCTTTGTTATAAGATGCATATTCATTGGAGAAAAAAAAAACTGGAAACCTTTTAAAGTTGCATATATACAACTTTCAGCTGCTCTGACTATTCTGTATGCCATTCAGTTTTAAAACAGACAGCTTGGCTCTGTTTATGCAATTTTAGAACTGTCAGACTCTTCCTTAGAAATAATATAAATGCAGCTGGGAAATGGCTTCAGATATGGGAAGCCACAAGGATTTGTATGGATTTCTAAAGTTCTTAAATTCCTGTTTAAAATTTTAGGGAAGAAAAAAAATCCCCATTGCCCATAGTTCTAGACGATCTGGAAAAGCAAATGTACCAATTTATCTTTTTAGACAATGTGAAAACTACCAAGCAAATTGTCACTGTGTGATTGCCATACTCCTTTTTTGTTTGCTTTTTGTAGGTTTTCACAAAGATCAGAAATAGGACAGGGTCCAACCCAGTTTGGAAGTTTGTGAGGATGCTATCCACACCTGGGTAAGTGGTATGTCTGACATACAGGAATATGATGTAATCTAAGAACAACCTGGAGACCCTCAGGAGGAGGGTTTGCCTGTGGTATAACTTGCAAGCCAGCAAGAATTCTCTTTGGTTGTGCAGACTGGATGCTCTTTGTCTGGGCTGCCCAGATAAGCACCACATGAACTGTAGCTTTCATGTGGATAGGAGGAAAACAAAAGGTGTGAGCACACTGTCAAATGCTGTAGTAACCAAACTTTATGAACAGTTAGGGAAACATTCATTAATCTTCTCTCACTAATCTTCTCGCTCTTCCTTCCTTCCTTCCTCCCTCCCTCCCTCCCTTCCTTCCTTCCTTCCTTCCTTCCTTCCTTCCTTCCTTCCTTCCTTCCTTCCTTCCTTCCTTCCTTCCTTCCTTCCTTCCTTCCTTCAGCTTGATTCAATACAGGTGTCATACTTAAAAGTGCCAAAACCTAAGAAACCTTCTGACCTCTGGTGTCTTACAACCATCTGTTTTGTACAAAGCTATTCTGAAACTATTGCATTTAGGAATTCATGAAGTATCTTGCCACTTCCTTTCTTTAATAGTTTGCTTTTTAGAAGTTATCTTCTTGTTTTACTACGAAACAGGAACACACACCCTCCATTCTTCCCCCACCCCCCGACTTCCCAAAACCAGCTATGGCTTTATGTTTTGGTATGGGGGTTTTTTAAACTTTGCAGAAGTGAAGGGGCGGGGGGGGGGGGGGGGGAATTTATAGTAGTTTTTTGTGGGTTTTTAGTTGGTTGGTCAGCTGGTTAGTTGGGTTTTATTTTTTTAAAGCTTTTCTGCTTAATATTAAAGGTATGTTACACTACCTATGTATCTTGCTTGTGACATACTCTACCTGATTCACTTTTTAATTTGTCTGAGCTTATCACCAGTGATGTAGTCTGTTATTGATTAAATAATTCATTTAGCTGTCCCCAAGATGACAAATCTGCTTATTGTCACGAGAAAGTTGATATACTATACTTTGTTTACAAAGGTTGTACTACAGTCAGAAAGTAATGTATAACTACAACATTTTTATAGATTTTACATATTATGTACATTTCATTAACAGTTACATTCAGCAATAAATGTATATTTATTTGATAAAAATAGAAATTGGGACTAAAATAACTCACAGTTATTAGTTGTGCTCAAAGTAAAGAGAATCAGGAAAAATTTGCATGGTGAATTAGCTTATGAACCTTTTAATAATTTTATCATGTTTGCTAAGATCACCCATTTAACTCTTTCAACACTGCTTTGGGACTGCACAGAAATTTCCTCCAGCTGTCTTAACTTGTGAGCATATTGTATATTGCATACATCCATAGACATATCCCAATTTTGCCTCTCTGTATGAACTTCTCACATGTATTCCATGGGTTAAGAAGAGTTATCTTGTTAATCCTGTGCTTAAAAATATAACTCTGTTCTTATTTGACACTACATTGAAGTAGGTATATTTTTAAATTACAATTCTAAGAAATCCTGGTTTTAATTCACCCTCCCCTTCTTCACTCAGAATACTACCCAAAATCTGGATTAACATATTGAATAAAAAAATTATCATTTTTACCATCACCTTTTCAGCTACAGATCTCCAGCCAGACACAGTTTTAGTCTCTGCTTGTAGAACTCATACTGTTTCAGAGACCACTTCAGAAATGAGCTTGAGAGGGTTTTCAAAATTTGGATAAGATGAACAATGATAGCACACAACTTCCATCCTGATAAAAATGCCAAATACACCAAAGAAAATTGCAAATAATTATTGTCAAGAAACAGTAAGAATTGCAAACCTTTTGTAGATTAAAATTGTTCTTGCATTTGGGCCTGGTACACTTCTTCATCTCATCAGTTAAACCAAAGTATAAATGCCTTGTTTTCAGTGTAATAAATGCATAGAAACAAAGGGAGGAACGCTGTAAAATTTTCCTCATTTTCAAGGTATTTTCTTTTTATATATAAATATATTTTAAACATGCTGGATAACATCCTTTTAGCAAAAAAGATGCTGGAGAAATTAGCAAACATGCTAACTAGCAAATGTATGTGAGTTAATCTTCACATACAGTGTGATAGGAAGAGTTTTCAGCATTACTAAATAATCAGCAAGAAATGTGCTTAGGCTGCAAGTGTAAAATACACATACTGGCATACTGGGAGTTGAGAACTTTGGAAATATACTATTTCACTCCCAAGGTAATTTTTTTCATTGTATTTTATCTATGCGTTAATTTTACATTTAATGCCTTTGGATGTAACAAAAATTTGACCTGTGATACTCAAGAGACTATTACAATTCCAAAAACTATGTTAATCACTTTAGTTTCTAAAGAAGCAAATTTGGGTTATTTTTATTGCCTGTGTCACTCAGAAAATACATACAGTGTATTTATAAAGAAGTATGTTTATGGATGTCTCTGTCTACTGACCTACTGAATAATGTACTCAATTTATATATATACACACATATATATGTGTGTGTGTGTGTGTGTGTGTGTGTGTGTTTATATGTTGACTCAACATGTAGATAAGCATTTTCAAGTGATTATAACCACCCATGTTTTTGCATAATGTCAGTATTTTCTCACAAGTTTTCAGTATTATTTTCCCCACAACATTTGAACATTCTTGATGCATACCATTCTGTAGACCCCTCCAGTGGACTCAAATTATATATACAGACTTTCAATTTATATTTTTGTCATTTTATAAGGCTTTATACACTGTGCTTCAGTAGAAACAATGATTCATATGTGAAAAAAAATTAAAATACATTTTCATAAAAAGGGCACAAATTATTGATAAACACATCTATGTTTGCAGATTGGTTATTTCTCAGAGGTTATTTGGGGTCATAATTGTAAATCTCATTACCTTGCTTGAAGGAGAAGGTCTCTTTCATTATTACGGTGCTAGGTCCATATCCCTGAAGCTAATTGCAAGGTATTGCTTCAGAGTTCTAATTGTTTGCCATCAAAATAGCTGTGTAAGCTTGATTAACAGTGTTCAGCAACATTCATAATAGTCCAAGCCTGGTCCTGCATAAAATAGAAACTGGGAAAAAATCAATAAGATTTAATAAGATCAGGAACAATCACTTACAATAGTACATCAATCACACAAAGTAATAGGTGCAGGATTTGATAGGGTCCTGAACTGCCTGAGAGATTCATAACCAGTACTCGTTAATGATTTGTTCATTTGCATTTTATCAATCCAGCTACAGCTGACAAGCAGAAGGAGCAGTAAGGAAATATGTTGACTTAAACTCATCAGAGTTTGCAATTAAAAAAAAACACCCAGATAACTTAATAGGAAAATCAGACATGGCTATATATGTGGAAGGTGTGTGTATACACATGTGTAGATGTGGTCTTTCTTGCTGCAAGATTATAATAAATTCCCACTCTATAGTGTCTATTAGTATTCCCATAATCCCTCAGAAAGTCTGTTTATGTCTGAGAAAAAGTACAACAAAATATAAATTTTTAAATTCTCCTCAGTGCTTCACAATGTTTTTTTCCCATTGCATTTCACATAGTGTATTGCCATCACAATATTTAATATGAAACATGCATATTGTCTTGTTTTCCTACCCTTTTAAATAAATAAAGCCCTGGGCTTTGCCTTGGGCCAAACCCATATCAAACACAAAACCAATAGTAATGAGATGGCTTTCTGGTGATTATTATTTAGCATTATATCCTATATCAGCAGATTTTATGTCTTTCTAAAGTAATTAAGTTTTGTTTACTATCTGAACATTGTTTGAAATTGTCATGAATAAACATCAGATCTCATTTATCCAGACTCTTGCCTGTTTGTAATGCATCAGTCTTTTGTTGAAAATAAGAAACCCAGAGCCAAGCCAAGCTAAAATGCTACAAAAAACCCCACATGAGCTGCCCTGTTTGTGGATGAGTTATTTAGAGCGTGATCTTGTAGGTCTATCTGCAGACTGTTTGTTTGCCTCTGCTTGTTGGGTCCATTTTGATGAGTGTCTCATTATAAACCAGATTACACATCTCCCTTTTCTGAGGAGCGGTTTGCTCTGTTAGATGCAGTAATTCTAATTTATATCCCAATTAATGTGTTTCCCTAGTATATAGTCTTTTCTTGTCTTTGCACCAGATTTATTTTTTTTTTCACAAACAAAACCTTAAAATACAGTCTTTGGTTCTCAAGAGTATCTCATGACCCAGAACATGTGTTGTTTATTTGTACATGCCTTTTCTGCTCATTTTAGTCAGCTTCTACATTTTAAAATGAGAGCAGCAAATTCTTAATCAATATATGCCCCTGTCGCATCACCTTATACTATGACAGCGTCTAATACCAGTACAAAGTCTGGGCTTCCTTAAGACATGGTTTAAAATGGAGATTGTCACATGGCATTATGGTATGAAAGGAATTTAATTTGGGTTTTCTGTCCTACCTCAGGTGCTTTGGCCTCGGCAACTGTAATGGAGGACCTTCCCAGGTTAGGTGACACTATGATTTTTGAGGTAAAAGGATGACTGAATTTGCAGGCTGACTGATGCTGTGATTTTAAGGCTGCACCATGACCACCCCAGTGGTATGCGTTCCATGGAGACAAAATTGGCAGGTTGGTGGCTTTGTCAGAATATTGGCTGAATCGTTAACAAGATTTCAGAAATTATATTCTCTAAACTACTATTCTGGGACATGTAAAAACTATCAGCTACTGTATTAATCATGGATTAGTTGTAATAACTATTAATTTTATAGTACTTTCAAATTTTTTATAACTTTACAAATATATCCTGAACTGGATAATTAAATCCATGAGCTGTATTAAAATCAGAGTAGCAATAAAAGAAAGGGAATTATTTGCTACAGTAAGTCTTGAGAAAAGAATATTCTTTTTCTGATTTTGAGCTGACCGTGAATAATTTGTGGTTTTTAATTAGTATGTTTGCTTCATCAAATGGCTCTTTAATGAAGAAATATTATAGCCTCTGAATTTGCTAGATATTCTTGGATAAAAATATTAATTTGGCCGTTAGATATATGTGATTTAAAGCTAAGCTATTCATTTCTCTGAGCAGGTTTGATAAAAGAGTCCACTTGTCAGCTGCTGCTTCAGCCTGCCCTGTAAGTTGTCCCTGAGTCACAGATAACCTGTAACATCTAAACCATTGGAGTCACCAACTAAACTTAAGACTAGGCTGATTTCCCCATCCAGTTTAAGTGTAGGTTGCAGAGTCTAGCAAGAGCTAAAATGTGCCACAATGAAGACTCTGCCCTCAGGAAAAGGAAATAGAAATGTCTGGAGTAGTCGCCTTTCCAATTTACTGACAGATGCGAGCTAGCACCTTCAGTATCAAGCTAGGTTTTGTTTCTCCTTGATTAAGCTTTTTCAGGAACAAGCCTTCATCCCTGACTGCTGCACCTGAAATGCAGACTGCAAACATCTTCAAAGAAGAATACTACCACCAATCCTTGAGACAAAGGCCATGTATCTTCTAATTTCAGTTTAATTGCTTGTTTTCAGATATGTGCATGCATGATACCCAACTGTAAGCTTTCTGCAATATGTAAGACCTTGAGGGATAAATGTGTGACTCATGGCGATGGACTCTCGTTATCTCGCTCTAGTTGGGGGCTGTGCCTTTTAACAGGACTTCCATTCATGGGAAGCCCTGAGCCACAGTTTACTGCAGAACTGTCTGGCACCATCTCTCTGTCTGTGTGGCTCAGGACAAACAGAGCCTGGATTTTCCTAACCAAGACATGGCATCAAAGAAAGGAGACTTCTGAAATGGCCGGGGTATTTAAGAAAAGCAATAAGGAGCAGAGACATATGTCAGGTATAGAGGATGGAGACCTCTGTGTGACATAGACACAGCCACCATGTGCAGGAATGTCCAGTGATTGATAATATGAAATTTTTAGGATTTTTTTTTAATGCGTGTATCGCTGCTTGGATCCTCAGAGGCTGTAGTTTTCATTTTGCTCTCTAGGAGCCAACTCAGAGCCAGATCCTTGAAAGAAACTTTTTAATCAGTTTAACTCTTTAGAGAGCTTAAAAACAGAATCAATAAAAGATTTCCATAATTTCAAGAACTGAAAGGGGGCGGGGGGGGGGAAGGAAAATGCACAGAACTTGTAATGGAGAACAACTATAAGAAAATTGCAAAATCATATGCAAAAAATCTATGCAAAATCGCTGGCCAAATCACATGAAAAGTGAAGAAAAGAACATAAAACCAATTATCTGAGATGCCTAATAGAAAGCGGTAGCTTGTGTTTACTCTGATTTTTTTCCATTCTGCAAGAGCTATGTTATTTACCCTATGCTTGTTATGACTCTAAGAATCTAAAAATACTATGTTGGAAAACTATGTTCTTGCTAAAAGAAAAAAAAAAATACAAGCTTTAGAAGCACTTCTCCTTGTCTCTTTGCAAAGAGTTATATTTAAAAGTGCTTTAATATTGCTGTTGCTGAACTTTTAGGTGTGACATTATCACATTATTCTAGATTTTAGGAGTGTCTAACTACACTATATTTCTGTTTCTTTATAAAAAGAAGTGAGTATGGAAAGATCTCTAAATATTCTGTGTGTATAAGAAGCAAAATACTCCAAACTCTGCATTCTTCCATAGGAGGAAACAATGGGAAAAGCAAAATCCAGTTCTAGGCAACTGCTGGTCTGTAAAGACACATCACACTGGAATGTTTTCTATCCCAAAGAAGAAACAGAAAAGAAGGGATTTCATCTGTATGTCCCTGATTTGGGCACAAGAATAAAGCTCAAACAGGTATTATAACCTGTGGCTGACAATTGGTCCATGCACCAGTTGCGATATCCACAGACTTTGCAAATGAGAGTCAGGGTTTACCATGGCAACAAATCAGGTATGCAGA